CCAGTGAGAGGTAGGAAGTCGCTTTATGTATAGGAAAGGTAAGATCTGTCATTAATATTGGCTTGATTTTTGCCGCTCTCTCGAGTCCGGTCTTTTCGTTCCTCTCAAGAAAAGACTCTTCGGAGAGGAAGGTGGGCTCCAGTTCCTAAACAGCAGCTGCTAAGCGAGCCTAGCAGTAATAATTCACCGGCCAAAGGCTTTGCAAGACTCGACTCATGCATGGAAATAGGACTTAAAGATTTCTCTCTTTCCTTCTATTGATCTGCAAGACTGCAACCACTGACTTTAACGTGGCAAAGTGGCTTAAAAATGGCGAATTTACAATCAGCAATATCCCTTAAAAATTTCCTTTCTTCCTTCTTTTGATTGGCGACCTCAGAACATCTGTAGATAACTATGTGGCTTATGTTTTTACACAAAGGTGATCCTCGTTAGAAGTGAAGTAGATTCGCCCACTCACAGAAAAAATCAATATGTAGTGTTCAGTATGGACAAACGAAACATCAAGGTATGTTGTAGTTTTATAGCCATTGTGACTATCACAATTATGGTGCTTTATCCTAGAATGATTTCTAAGCTACCATTTCATAAGTTTAATTTTCTCCGTGTTTGAATTGGGAACGCATAATCCAGCTGATGAAATTGGCGCTTCTAGAGAGCCCTCCGAACTTCCCACTGAAGTGCTTCAGTTCATACCCCAACTTACACACTGATGAACGCAGGAACAAATTTGAGTATATCATAGCGGACGCTGATCTCCCTTGAGCGAGAACGCTTATCCGGTTTTTCTCAAGCTAACAATGAAAATTTGCTTCTTTTAACGAGGTGTCCGTGGAAGAGTTGAATTTTACCATTAAAAAAAGGAAAATAAAGACTGAAAAAATCGAAGTAATCAATTTTTATTTGGAAGCTTCATAAAAGTCCTATATCCGAAGAAGGGTTTTCAAGAATGATTCCAAAGTTGATGTTAATATGGGTCGTTTACGGTACAGTTGCTCTAGATGGACTCCAGTAAACTTACAGTTTCCCCCTGAGTGTTCATTATATACTCAGCTGTGCTGGCTACAATTTCTTCGGTAGTTTTTTTTTTCTTTCTTTTTTTTTCATTTTCATTTGCTGTTGCAAAGGTTATAAACATGATCTGGAGGATTAGCTTTCAGTGCATTTTGCAGAAAAATGTAACCGTAGTGGTCATGATATGGACGTGCAACCGTGCGTGTATGGAGATATGGACCACGATGGGTCATTATAGTTCACCACTAAATTTTGTCCGATTCTTATTGTTTTAAATTGATCACGTGACGCGATAGTGTTCATCCGTGGAGAGACACTATCAGCCCATAGTGCCCGTCCGCGGAAAATACCCGGATGGATAGTACTCATCCGTGAAAATGTTATAATGGTTTGACGGCCGCGAAGTTAGGCAAATCGGAAAGACAGTGACTTTTCAATTCTGACAGGTATAACGTATTATTTAGCCAATGTACGGTTGAGAATTATTGACATTTGTGACAGGCTGTACGCATGAATGAATATTTGATTGAGCTGCATTTAGTGGGTTTTGACTGTTTTTCAACTGGCGCGCGGAAGAAAATTTAGTGGTGAACAATAAAGACAATAGAGTACTTATGTCTCGGAACCATCGGTCTGACAGTTCCCTCTTGGAAATTTGATGTTCTTAAAACTAGCATATTTTCCTTCGAAGCTTCGCTTCGAGGGCAAATATTTGTTTTAAGAACATCAACTTTCCGCGGGGCAACTATCATCCGATAGTACCTCGACAGAAGCACTCTATTGTTTACATAAGACTCCGATAGAACAAGTGCTTTATGTTCTCATTTGGGATGTGGTATTCCTTGTGTTCGTTCTGTTAAGATCTGGTCTCTCGATCGTAACTGCAATAAATGCTTGGCAACATTAAGCCCTGGCACGGATTCCAGCTTCAACTTACAGCCTCGTCTTCAGTGTGATGGAGAAAAAATTGTGTGTGCTTCCGAGAGAGCGATTCTTCTTTGGGATTTTAAAACTTTGCAAATGATGAGGTAAGTCAGTGAATTGAAGTGTTGGAAAGTTTCTACTCTGTCCGGTTCCAAACGAGATGCAGACTGCAAAACGCGTGATGGGCCAAATGCCGCCAAATGCCCCTTTCTCTTGTAATTTTGATTCGGTTAAACTTGTAGAAAATTGTTTTATCGTGGCTCTTTTCTAGGTGTAAACCTCTCGCATCTTCCCCGTTAAAACATGCTTTGTGCACGTCCTTCTTGTCGCGATCTCGGTGGCGTTGCAATAAATTTTCAAAGCGTTGCATAAAAACATAAATAGTGTTACTCGAAACAACTTTTCGTGAATAAGGGGCTGTTACCTACACTGCTGTTCCACGGATGGTGCGTGTTGCACGCGTGTATTGCGTGGAAATCACGCGCGCAACTGAAGCGGTGTTGTGGTTACAAGCCCTCTGAATTTTCGCCTTGTATTTGAAATATCTGTGTGGTTTTTTTGTTGTTTCCTTTGGTGCTTTCCTTCACATAACGGTATGATACGATTATGTGACTATATATGCATGATATAGGAACGCGAGATACACTGTTATTTGTTTTTGTACTGAATAGAATAGATTCCGCGCTCCGATGCCCTACCACTGAGCCACAGAGACTCTATGGTGGTCAAGGCACGTCACGAAGTTCTCTATTTCTTTGGGAGCATTGGAGCGCTGCATCTGAAGGTCTAAGGTTCGATTCCTCATGGGCTCTTAGACGTTTTTCTTTGTCCCAAGCCCATAGCGAGACGAAAAACATCTTTCTTTACTGTTATTGTTGTGGTTGCGTTAAATAAATTGCGAAACGCATTGTAGTACTAACAGGAATTTCAGTGGCAATACTAACCCAACAGTTCACAGTTCAATGAGTAAAGTCAAGATGACCGACCATGTATCTAAGGACTCTCAGTGATCAAAAATCCGTTTCTCCAAACCTTCTTTTTCCTAAGGCTAAGTAAAAAAACTGCTCCATTTTCTTTTATTTCAACTTGCAGAATCTTCACAACATTGCCTGCTAATTGGCTCGTTGCCTATGGGCAGGTTTATAGTCTTGTTATGGACATGAACTTCCTTTATATAGTTTGCACTAAAAGCGAAGAAATCGTGGCGGAATATCCCTTACCTGCCTTCCGAAGATCCTTACGCGGGTCGAATTTTACGCCGGGTGAAATTTTTTGGCTAGACGGACTGGTCACCAGACCTCAGGGAGGCCTCCTGTTCGCTTCAAGCATGCCTGACTACAGTGTCTCACTGCTCATGCTCAGAGATGGCACTTGACAAAGTTTTCAACCAATCTCAGACTTGCGCCAGTCTTCTTCTAAGACCACCAGTCACTTGTCTTCTAGTCTCCACTCTCGCTTCTGATAAAATCCCCTGGTGGTGAAAATGAATTAACGCATTGAATAAAGCTTCAAATAAATGTCTATGAATTATCTTGAATCTAGACACGACTGTCGTTGCACATTTGAAGGATCAGTGGCTTCATTTGAGGGGCAGGGAGAAAGGGGGGAGAAATGGTAATGGTGATTGTGGGGTATTATAGTGGCCTGGAGGGAGGTTTTGAGGGAGGTCTAGAGGAAGGCCCCCAAGGAGGTCCAGAGAAAACTTTGTCGGGGTAATTTTAAAATTTTTCAGAGACATTCCTATACCGTTTGGTGCATTTGGAACCCCTTTTCGACAAGTTTCTTTGTCACCTTCAGGAAATCTTCCATCGGTTTTTTTTAATCGTCGCATAAAATTACTTGCACCTTCTTTTTGCCCAAAAGGGGTCGGGAAGTGAAGTGAGGGGGGGGGAGGGGGGAGGATGTTAATGTGTGACTCGGTGTGATATTGTAAGGAGAAATTAGATGCTTGTCTCCAGGGGTCAAAGGGTTAACATCGCTCTCTTCGCTTTTGTTACTTTGACAATTTATTATTCGTCTCAATTTTTTCAAATGTCACTAATTTCATTCTGGTGAGGTTTTTTTCTGTTTCGTTTGGCTCGGACGGCACACAAACCTATTGCTTTGGCTGTGTCTATTTCATCATCTTCCATCATGAATCAAACTTGGCTTAATGATCAACTGCCATCTGATGAGTTTGCGATCCCCGGTTTCAATTTGTTCAGGCGCGATCGCTCCTCGGGCCGTAAAGGTGGTGGCGTTGCAATCTATATCTCCGACAAAATACCGGCTGTGCGAAGATGCGATTTGGAAGATATAGCATTGGAGAACCTTTGGCTGGAGTTGATGTTTCCAAATTCAAAAGGAATTCTTTTGGGAACCTGCTATCGCCCGCCGGATGACTCTCAGTTTTTGGAAATTTGCAATCCGGGCTTGAAAAGAGTGTCGGGAGAGGATAAGAAACGCTGATGACTGGTGATTTTAATTACGACTTTAAAGCACCGACGCAAGGAGCAGATTTGAAGGCCCTAAAAGGCATTTTTCGCCTTCATAATTTCTTACAACTGAGTGACTGTACAACAAGGATAACTAAACTTAGTGCTACACTCATCGACTTGATTGTAACAAATAATGCGCGCAATATTGTCAAGCAGGCAGTGGTTCCTCTTAGTTTAAGTGACCATGACCTTGTTTTGTGCGTTAGTAAAATAAATGCTTTGAAATATGTACCCAAAATAATCGAATGCCGCGACTACAGAAATACTCGCCTGGGGAGTTTTGTGAGAGCTTGAGCCAAATCAACTGGGACCCTGTCAAACACGCCTTCGGCTTAAACAATGCCTTGGATCTCTTTAATGACATTTTTAAAGAGCAGTGTGATCTACACATCCCTTTAATAAAAAAAGAAAGTCAAGGGTGTTAACTACCCTTGGTTAACGCATGAACTTAAGAAATCAATGCAACAAAGAGATTGTCTTCTAAACAAGGCGCGACGGACAAATAGAGAGGTAGATTGGAGTCCCTTCAGAAGATCAAGAAACGCAGTGAACAACAAAGTGCGCTTCGCTAAAGCCAATTACAATCGGAACTTTATTCAAGAAAACATTGATGACTCAAAATCTTTCTGGAGAGCTGCGAAGAGAGTAACTCCTAACGACAAGAAATTAAAACAATCTATGCCTCCAATCAAAGTCGATGGTGATCTCAAAATAAAGGCTGATAGTTTCGAAAGAAACTGGGGCTGCGTCGGTGGGGATAACGAAATAATTTGGATATATCATCAAAGTTGAAATGGTAAATTGGCCATCGTAACGATTACAAAAGCTGACGTTTCGAGCGTTAGCCCTTCGTCGGAGCGAATAGAGGAATTGTGGGTTGTGCGTGCTTTTAAAGGTGGAAAATGGAGCTCATCTTTCAAACCGGCAGTCTAAATCCCACAGGGATCAACGAACGCATTTCATTCCACTAATTTATTCTTGTTTTTCTCGTTGCCATGTTCCTCCCAATAACGTAGCTTCGTTCTCTGCTTTTAAAACCACGCACAACCCACAATTCCTCTATTCGCTCCGACGAAGGGCTAACGCTCGAAACGTCAGCTTTTGTAATTGTTACGGTGGCCAATTTACCATTTCAACTTTGTTGATATATCCAAATGATCTCAAGATAGACAAGAATGCCATAGCTGAAAGTTTTAATCACTTCTTCAAATCATACGTATGATGCACGATCCTTCGCAGTAGATAGCGCTATTTATGCAATAGCGAAAATCAGACCTGAAAAAAATCAGGCCTGTACGGGATTCGAACCACTGACCTCTGCGATACTAGTGCAGCGCTCTACCAATTGAGCTAACAAGCCAACTGGGAGCAGGCCGTTAAGTTGATTCGTAATAAACCCGTGATGATAAATCAGATACAATGAATATATGAAGTTCATATATTTTGAACTGCGGTATTAAATACGTATGATGCACGATCCTTCGCAGTAGATAGCGCTATTTATGCAATAGCGAAAATCAGACCTGAAAAAAATCAGGCCTGTACGGGATTCGAACCACTGACCTCTGCGATACTAGTGCAGCGCTCTACCAATTGAGCTAACAAGCCAACTGGGAGCAGGCCGTTAAGTTGATTCGTAATAAACCCGTGATGATAAATCAGATACAATGAATATATGAAGTTCATATATTTTGAACTGCGGTATTAAATACGTATGATGCACGATCCTTCGCAGTAGATAGCGCTATTTATGCAATAGCGAAAATCAGACCTGAAAAAAATCAGGCCTGTACGGGATTCGAACCACTGACCTCTGCGATACTAGTGCAGCGCTCTACCAATTGAGCTAACAAGCCAACTGGGAGCAGGCCGTTAAGTTGATTCGTAATAAACCCGTGATGATAAATCAGATACAATGAATATATGAAGTTCATATATTTTGAACTGCGGTATTAAATACGTATGATGCACGATCCTTCGCAGTAGATAGCGCTATTTATGCAATAGCGAAAATCAGACCTGAAAAAAATCAGGCCTGTACGGGATTCGAACCACTGACCTCTGCGATACTAGTGCAGCGCTCTACCAATTGAGCTAACAAGCCAACTGGGAGCAGGCCGTTAAGTTGATTCGTAATAAACCCGTGATGATAAATCAGATACAATGAATATATGAAGTTCATATATTTTGAACTGCGGTATTAAATACGTATGATGCACGATCCTTCGCAGTAGATAGCGCTATTTATGCAATAGCGAAAATCAGACCTGAAAAAAATCAGGCCTGTACGGGATTCGAACCACTGACCTCTGCGATACTAGTGCAGCGCTCTACCAATTGAGCTAACAAGCCAACTGGGAGCAGGCCGTTAAGTTGATTCGTAATAAACCCGTGATGATAAATCAGATACAATGAATATATGAAGTTCATATATTTTGAACTGCGGTATTAAATACGTATGATGCACGATCCTTCGCAGTAGATAGCGCTATTTATGCAATAGCGAAAATCAGACCTGAAAAAAATCAGGCCTGTACGGGATTCGAACCACTGACCTCTGCGATACTAGTGCAGCGCTCTACCAATTGAGCTAACAAGCCAACTGGGAGCAGGCCGTTAAGTTGATTCGTAATAAACCCGTGATGATAAATCAGATACAATGAATATATGAAGTTCATATATTTTGAACTGCGGTATTAAATACGTATGATGCACGATCCTTCGCAGTAGATAGCGCTATTTATGCAATAGCGAAAATCAGACCTGAAAAAAATCAGGCCTGTACGGGATTCGAACCACTGACCTCTGCGATACTAGTGCAGCGCTCTACCAATTGAGCTAACAAGCCAACTGGGAGCAGGCCGTTAAGTTGATTCGTAATAAACCCGTGATGATAAATCAGATACAATGAATATATGAAGTTCATATATTTTGAACTGCGGTATTAAATACGTATGATGCACGATCCTTCGCAGTAGATAGCGCTATTTATGCAATAGCGAAAATCAGACCTGAAAAAAATCAGGCCTGTACGGGATTNGTGACGAAATGACACCTATTTTTGGATTACCAATGATTACATAATTCAACCCCGTAAAAGTGTTCAACTGGCCTTGGTCAGTCTTTCTGTTGTATTCTTTCAAAGTTACAAACCATCGAAAAGATGAAAACTGGTACCAGCCACCTTAACTCGTGTCCAGTGTCTTCCGAGAGTAAAACCTAGTCCTTTTTACAGAAAAATCTACTTATTTAAATAAGGTCGTCTACTTTTGTGCGTCCCGTTTTTACAACAGACGACTTTAACGTCTCTAGCATAGAAACGGCCATTTTTCTCCCGCGTTACTTGCTCTTCCCCTCCCACTAATCTAAATGTTCGACGCGCGCACGAAGGTAAAGCGTCAGACTTTGAGAAGGTCTGTATCGAACATTTTTATCAACGAGATGACATGTTATGGTGCCGGATATTTCTCTCCTGTTTGCGCTTAAAGAAAAGTGCACCATTAATTAAGTTCCCTCCTTCAATTGCTTAAACAGACACGTAGATTTCATTAACTTACTTTACGTTGATCGAAATTTGCTACGGACAGTTCAAATTGTGCGTTTTGTTGATTCTGTGTTAGAGACATTTTAATTCAGTTCTTGTTTTAACAGAGGGAACCGACGTAATCCTAATCAAACATTTCTAACACCACCGGCGACAATTTTCTGTTTTTTTAATTTTGACTGTTTGATTGCAATCTACTTATTAATTTCCCTGTCACAATGGTGCAATTCACGTTGTCAAACAAAATCTTTCAGTCAAAAGTGCGGAACAAGGGAGAATTGACCAGAAAGGACGAGATAGCCCGAAGGGAAGAGGTTAATACACAATAGTTCTTAATTAACAAATCTTTCTCTACGCTTACCTTGTTATTAAAAGCGCTCATCTAATTTCGAAAATAGTACTCGCGATTGTTGACTTAAGTTTATTGGTTACGACCTAAACAAACTGCTACCCTGTTCTGAGTTACAGTGACGTGTATCAAGTGTTTCGATGGTGGTTTGAGTTGATAACAATTATGATTTGTAATTAACTACACGACTATCCCTGGGTAATCTGTCAACGAGCATGTACATTCGATGTGTCTGTTTGCTCTGGATCTATTCTGTTTCGTCGCTCGCATTCAAAAGGTTTCTTTTTGGTCTGTGTAAATTCCATTAGCACCTTGGATCGCAACATCGATTTGCATTTCGATAAACTGGCTTGAAAGACGAGAACAAACAGTTTTGCGACGCTAGACAGTTGGTAGAATCGCAGGAATGGTTGACATACTGGTTTGGCTGTGTACGTTCGCCGTATTTTCACATATTCGCGGTAGCAACGAAGCAAATGAGTTGCTTTACAAAGACGATCCATCTATCGACAACCCGAACCGTCTTCCGGTGAAAGACGACCGAGCTGGAGCCTTTAACATGACAGCGCGAGAGGCACTAAAAGCCATCGAAGAGGTGCATCATGGCACTGTCGACTGCGAAACAATGCTGGCCAAGAGAAGCTTGAAGCTTCTGTATTTTAAATACGAGAATAGCGTCTATACTGCACAAGCCAATCTCGCCATCCGAACTGCTAATTTAATCTCTGATCTGTTACCAACAGGCTCTGCTAAAACTTTGAATATTTCCGGAAAGAATGTGTTGAAGACGCATAGGGAAGTACTCCACGCAATCGTAAGGAACAACCTTGAAAACGACCAGGTTATTGTAGGTTCAGCGATCATTTTTGACAACAATAGCTTTATAGACAATTCGTTTTTTGCACCGTACGCCTATAGAAACGCAAACGATACTTTCATTAAAGTCACAGATCTGTCTGCCGGATGGAGTTATCTTCACGAAGCGTTTGTGAGGCTAATGAAGTTTAAATCACGCGGAAGACCTTTTCCGAAGCGAACAACGTACTTTTATAAGCAAAATAACGTTTCTTCCGCATCGACACGGCTAAAACTCACACACAAGTTTGTGGAGTCTAAAGATGGACTATGGAGCCGTCCTTACTTCGAGTGCACAACGGCGAGAGCTTGGTTAATAACATACACTTCGCCCATACTGGGCAGCCAAGACGGTAATGGATCAATCTCTTTCATGTAAGTGGAAATTTGATAAAAAGATGTTCTATTCAATTATACTTTAATTTCGTTTTTCTTTCAGTTTTACTGGAAAAATTTTTCTTTTACGGTCAATATTCATTTGAATTCGAGAGAAAAGTCAGTGGTTAAATGGGATTCCTTGTGGGTTTAACTGGTTAAATCAATTTTTATTTTTGAGCACTGGCATTACAGAAGTCAGAAATATCGGATTAACTTCCTTGTCGAAAGTCGATTCGAACTCAGACTTTCTCCGAGTCTCAAGGAAGTTGTTTGCATTTGTAACTGTCACCTCATTTCCTTTCGACTGAGGCAACCTGAACTTCTAGTCACAATATGATACCAGAACGATATCAGGAAGAAACACGTGGTGGGATTTGACAACTATCAGCTAACATGGAGAACTTTATCTTGATACACTGCCAGTTACTCAGAATTCGCCCACAAACCAGAATGTTTTTCAGTCAAAGCGAACAAGTGGGAATCGTATCATAAGGGCAACAGAGTTAGGCCGGGAGAGACATGCAATTACATTCAATAAAAAATTGTCGGTACAGCACCACTAACATTGCAATATTCTGAATACTGATACAATGTATATGAATACTATTTATATCCCGGATGCCCTTGTTTCCCTCCCCCCCTGTACACTGGTTGCACTTTGTTTTCTGTGATTGTACAACAGTGAAATAAATGGGAAAGGGTTATTTTAGAGAACTGTAATTCAATTTAATTTTTAGGTCTAAACGCCCACTATAAAGTGGTTTCATGTCCATGATCGTTGCTCTCAGGCCATCTGCAATCAGCACAGCGGTCAAACGTCGGGCATGCGTCTTTAGATCAATTTTGGCCGCCTACGATCCAATTTCCCGCGCAAAATTAGCGAAAGAAAATTGGAATGTTCATAGAAACTTGTACAAAGAGAGAAAAGAGCGAAAAGGAAAACTCAAGACTTTTCGAACACAAAGCTTATTCAAGTACGGATATCCCGTTGATTTACCATTCTGGTTTGAGCTTTATCCTAAACGTTATGCGCATGTAAAAAATCGTGACTTGCTGGTTCGTGTGGTCGTTTGTAACTCGTGTGAGACAACTTGGTTCTGACAGCTTAAAAACGACGTGAAAGCGCGTGCGCATGCGTGGAGTTTGACCGCTCTCCTTATGGAATATCCTTCACTTTCTCCGCACTCTTTGGTGGACCAACAAGCCAAGAACAAACTTGCTTAGAAAACGAGCCAACAAGTGCATTTTTATACTTATCAGATGTAATATATATTCCAGCTCCAATCACTGGTTTATATTCTCACCATTTGTACGCCTTATGTAACTTTCCAGGGGTATGACTACAATTGATATCGCTCTTACGAACGTCGACATTAATCAATGTGATAAGGAGTCAGGGGGCAAGTTTCAGTTCGAGATTTTTGCTGGTACTCATCGATGTAAAAATGAAACCACTCAGGTGAGGCAACTACGCATGTCATGAACTGATAAGGTAATAAAGTACTTGAATTAACTTGGTGAGCAGTCATTAACACTTTTGCGACATGATGCGCAATTAAAAATGGAGGGACTTTTATGAGTAACGTTTTATGAAACGTTGTAGCAACGATGTCCTGTAACCATAACAAAAGCAGAACGACGACGGTTGCCATTGAAGATTAGCCAGCAAGCATAAAAATACGACACGTAGCTTGTCGTGCGAAAGCTGCATTTTGCGATAGAAGTTTGGCGTCGCGCTCTGTTACTTCTATCTCCTTGCAAACTGTTTCAGCCTGCGTTTCTCAATATTCGAAAGTTCTGCCATCTTAGATCACAGTGTCACGTCAATATCAAAAGAGACGAGGACTCTGTGAATAAGATTGCAGTAAAGTTGTTTCCGAGAGTTTTCGTGCGCAGACCTGAGTTGCAAGCAGCCGTGCTCCGCTCGTCCTAAAAAAATCAGTCAAAGTAGCGTTTTTCACATGCCCTGTACATGTTCACATCATGTGCTACATTGACATCAGCAAAACATTTTAAGTTAAGCTAGGTTTTGCCGAATGAAAAGCAGAAATCGGAAACTGTCTTTTGCATGAAGCTCATATAATCACTATAATTTGTATTTTCGTTGTGCCAAATTTAAAGTCAAGGGTTTTAGCAAAATTTATGAAGGAAACAATTTGCAATCATGCTCAACACAACAGCCATAAATTTTTTCTAGCTTTAATGTACCTGGGGTGTTAGCTATTTAGTTTGATATTGATCGATTCATTACTTTTTCTCTTTTACTTAAAAACAGTGCAAGCCTGTAACTGGACTCGGTTTTAGGGCCGGCTCATACAAGTGCGTTTGTAGGTCTGGGTACTATTTTCCGAACGTCACCGCTTCCGCGAAATATTTCAACGGATCTGAAATCGAGGCTGCAGCCGTTGACCCAAGTCACAGTTATTACTCGAATCCAGATTCCTTCCAATGTATCAAGTGCCAACCTGGTTGTGAGGCATGCGTGGATAATTCCCCGTGCATTGTAACGCTAAACTGGCCGCTAAGGAGAGCCTTGATGGGTTTGACTGTAGTCTCTATCTTGTTCGCCATTGGAATAAGTGCGTTTATTTTGTACTTTCGGGAACTGAAGGTGAATTTCTTGCTTGGATGTGAAGTGAGTTAGCAATTCCCTTCCCCTCCCTGGGCGGTAGTAATATGGTTATGTAACATTCTAACAATGTAGATTCTCAGCCGGTTTTGTTTAAAAACTGCCTGGAAGTTTATCATTTTTCCACTCATAGGAAGAATATTGAGGATGGAGGGAACCAGTAGGGCAGAAAGTTTGGTTGAGTTCAACATAGTAAGATTTGCTATTACATGGTAAACTCAAAATATGTGGAATTTTTGTTCTTATACTCTCTAGAAATATCGTAACGAGTTTACCGCTAGCTTACATTGATCTGAGGACACATGCCTTTCTAGCCTTAGACAGAAACCGCGCTTAGCTGAGAAGCAATTCACACGGCATATGCGCCTTTATGTTGCAGGTTGTGAAGACGGCCAGCCCCCATTTCCTTGTCATTATATTAGCAGGGTGTATGTTGTCGTATTGTGAGGTTAGTCGAGTCCCACAGTGAGTTGAGTTGCACTTTGAGTCTTTGAAGACTTAATAGGCTGTGTTGTAATCACTGTGTACACTAAAATATACTTAGTACTATACTTGACCTCAGGTGACGAAAAAACGGCGGCCAGATCAAACAAGACGTTTATTTCGCGTCTTTTGGACACATTCAACGCGAGTGAACTTTAACATTGGCTTTAATAGAAAGGATTATTAAGTTAATTACTAAAAAGAGATTTAGAAGTGTATATTTTTAGAAAATGTAGAAAAAAAAAAAAAAAGCCGTGATATACGTAGAGTATCAGTTTGGCTACTGAACAAGCAAATTTAACACACTATGTTATGCGTAGAAAGAACAACAACAGCAAAAGAATAACTGATTGATTAGAGTAGTATTTATGATAAGTTACAATTGCTATACAGAGGTTGCAATAAATGCTGGTTTCCAGTCCTCTACCACCCAAAATAAGAGCTCTTACGGCCACCTGTTTAGCCTGCCAGCACAGGGGAGCGGGCTACGGCCCCTTTTCCGGACACGGCCGTCTGTAACACCATCGGTCGCCGCTTATGGAAAAAGGATTTTGACAGAAATCCGTGACTATAACTGTGGCTCTGTTACCTTCATGTTAGATTCTTGTGCTGTATCCCGAACCGCAGAATACGTTTTGTGTTGTTCGTCTTTGGTTTCGCCATATTGGATTCGGACTAGGTTTTACGTCATTGCTTCTCAAAACTTGGAGGTGAGTCTCTTTTTGTTCATGTAAAGGTTTTTTGTATCTTCTAGTCGACCTCATGACAATGTCCACTTTTCACAAACCCTGACCCGTCTATTTAAAAAATTCAGGCTTGTACGAGATTCGAACCCATGACCTTTGCGATACCGGGCCAGAGTCTATCAGAGTCTCCTCTGCAGAAATATATTGGCCTAAATAAGCTTTATGTAAGTGTGTATTAAATTTTTCTAGAGTGCACTAAATTGACTAATCACAGCGTACGAATCTCAGTTGTGGCAGTTAGCAGAGGTTATCGTACGATGCATAGTGAAGACTGTAAGTGTGCTGTTCATTTTTGTCTCTTGCAGGATTTCCGTGATATTTCGTGTCAAATCTGCGCAGAAGATAAAGCTCACTGATCGCCACCTCATCCAGCGCCTCGCTCCGATCCTGGCCTTGTACGTGGTTTATCTGTTGGCCTGGTCACTAGCCGGCCCAAGTCACGTGGTAGAAATGAAGATGCCTGGGGATCTTAAGTTCCATGTGTGTTCCTTTGACTGGTGGGACCACGCCATTTTGATCTGTAAGTTTAACTCAAACCCCATTTACTCTTCTAAAAAAAACAGCAGAAAAAAAAAAACAACTTAACAAAAAATCTCCAAATTGCTTTCTACGTTAGGCCTGAAGGTTCGCCATCAAAACGTTTGTCGGTCGTGTTTTTATAAAATATCTTCGAGAAAAAGGATCACAACCTCCATCGTCTACTATCCCCGCCCGCCATTTGCAGAAGTTTTTCCTGTCATGCCCTGAGTAGAGTTTCAGTTAAATTTTTTCTTACCTTTGTCTGTTATTTGTCGGTCGTGTTTTTATAAAACGTCTTAGAGAAAAAGGATCACAACCTCCATCGTTTACTGTCTCCGCTTGCCATTTGTAGAAGATTTTCCTGTCATGCCCTGAGTTGGGTTTTAGTTAATTTTTTTTCTTACCTTTGTCTGTCGTGTGTCGGTCTTGTTTTTATAAAACATCTTATAGAAAAAGGGTAACAACCTCCATCATTTACTCCCCCCCCCCCGCTATTTGCAGCAGTTTTCCTGCCACGCGCTGAGTAGAGTTTGTTGAATTTCTTTCTCACCTTTGTTAGTTGAAATACTCTTCTTGTTCTGGGGAATCCACCTGTGCTATAACGTCAGAAAAGCGCCGTCCGCCTTCAACGAGAGCAAGTTTATCAGCTGGTCAATTTACAACTTGACGGTGGTCACTTTCTTCCTCAAGATTACGAGGTATGGTTAACCTTATTGCTTACTTCAAATTAAGGAGAAGTGAGCCCCAGAAATCATTTATCTACCTGTACATGAAAACAAGATTCCAAAAAGTTAAGGAGAAGCATGCCTCAGAAACCATTTATCTACCTGTACATAAAAAACAAGACGCCACCTGTATTATAAGATTTCAAAAAGTTAAGGAGAAGTATGCCTCAGAAACCATATATGTACCTGTACATAAAAAACAAGACGCCACCTGTATTATAAGATTCCAAAAAGTTAAGGAGAAGTATGCCTCAGAAACCATATATGTACCTGTACATAAAAAACAAGACGCCACCTGTATTATAAGATTCCAAAAAGTTAAGGAGAAGTGAGCCCCAGAAATCATTTATCTACCTGTACATGAAAACAAGATTCCAAAAAGTTAAGGAGAAGCATGCCTCAGAAACCATTTATCTACCTGTACATAAAAAACAAGACGCCACCTGTATTATAAGATTCCAAAAAGTTAAGGAGAAGTATGCCTCAGAAACCATATATGTACCTGTACATAAAAACAAGACGCCAGCTGTGTTATAAGATTCCTAAAAGTTATGACCACGAACCTCAGTAATCACAAGACTCGGTAACCTGGCCGCACTTGCATAACCAATTTGCGCAGCCCTTAAACAACTGCTTCCCAGATTATCGTGGTAAAACATAGTAACAAACAGAAATAGATTTTTTTTCTTCTCACTTTTGGAGTCAAAAGCGTCCTTTTGTGGAGCCTGATTTTGTTCAAAAAATCTTTAAGGGATGGTAAAAAGAGAAGTGAAAGACTGTGACGTCACAGGTAAGTTGTTAGGTTTCTAAACAATATTCAAAATGGTGGTTTCTGTGATCGAATTTGTAGCACATTCAAGACAAGTGTAGTAAGGCAATGTTATTCTTTGGGGATGAAAACTGCTGTCAGTGTCAGACAGTCCATACATTTTTAATGGCGAAGATGAAATTGTATTGTTTCTGTGGTACGCCTCTCCTTAAAGGCCTGGCCTAACAGATTCCACATCATTTTAAATTGTTGAATTCAACAATATTGAAACATGTTGGACGTTGTGTCCAAACGAATGCACTATGTTAGATGCAACACCTGGCACAATAGTCAAGAAGTGAATTCTGCCAAGAAATCCTTGGAAAACCAATTCGCGCTACATTTGTTTGACCTAAGAATGGCGCGAGATCGATCGAAAGCGGAAGATGTTTAGTCTCTCTTGTTGACTCTGTTACTCTGCTTGCATATTGGCAAGGGAAGATATTATCGCTTTGATCAGTGAATTGAATATGAGGTTACACCGAGATAACGCGCACTGGCTGACAATTTTATCAGTTGTCATCGTCTACTTGCTTAATGATGAATTGATATTGAAATAAGAAATTGCCCGCTTCATAATCGGTTATATTAGTTTCAGAGATATTGGAGTTTTCCATTCCATTCTGTGTGAATTATTTTATTGGTTCCCTTTTTGCTAAGCATCTACAGGCGATTTCCAAATGGATTGGGGAAAGCCAACTGTTCCTTTTGATAAGATAAGATTCAATGTAATTCCCTTAAAATGAAATATTTTGAAATCAGTAATACATTGTGGTGATGTTGTTCATTCTCAACTCAACACCAACGTCTGTCTTCTAATTAAAGACATGTACTTGATGCAAGTTCATGACCTTCGATGGTTATGACGTAAATACAGCAATGATGTGAAGATCTTTGAATATGCAACGGAAAGTTCAATAATGCAGCAACACGCGGCATTTTACATGTGTTCTAGTAAGTAACTATTTTGCGGTGAGAATCTTGAAAGCGGAAAGCCACAAGGTGCGTCATCGATAGTCCACAAACCCTTTCGTCAAAAGCTGTTCCCTGATTACTTTTGATTGAGTACTGTCGTGAGGTCAAAAGATTGTCAAGTTTATATTTGGTTTTAAGAACGAAGTTTCAAGTCGGTGAATTCCTGATAAGACTGAATTTTGAAGGCTCTTAAGGTTTTTTTTTTCTCGTTATAAATATCTGTTTTTTTTTTTTTTTTGAATATGATCGTGGGCACGCGCACTGAGAGAAAGAAATAGATTGCACTTTGCAGTGTACCATCAGGTTACGACTGAAGAACAGCTTTAAGATTTCGCGGTTGGAATATTACTTTTACGAGTGTATTGGATACTTTCACTTTGTCGGTTGAACTTTTCGAATATGACTTCAGTGCCCGACGACGTCCTACATTTTTGACTTATTGCAGAAGTTTATTCTTCAAATAACTACAGTTTCAATTAAAAAAATTTGATGATGTAAAGTGATACTTCCTTGAATTAATAATGTAGTAAATCTTAAACGTAATCCACGATTCATACGAATATTCCCTCAAAATACAAGGGAAGAAAAGGTGATGTCGTCAAGTTTCATGTAAGCTTAGCAATGAATTTTTCATCTTTTTCATTGTCGTTTTGATCATCCGCAGAAGAAAAAACTGCAAAACATGAACATTTTCCTTTTGTTTTTTTCGAGCAATAGCATAAAACATTGCAAAGGATGGCATCGCTCACAAGATTGCTTTGAATTTAAATTAATTTTATGCATGTCTGTCCACAATGGTTCCATTCCGCTTTGACTCTGTTTTCAAGAACTGAACACTCACTTTCAAAGTCATATCAAACATGGCTTCACGGGAGGTAATTGCAAATGTTGAACTTTTCATTGAATTTTTACTTTTAAACCTTAAACTTTACACTATGCACCTAACATTACTATCCATATTCTCCAAACTCTTCTCTATGCATTTCCTTTGTTACTGACAAGGTGAATTTGTTCAACAATCAAAGCTTCTTAGGTTAAACTTAAGTTAGCCATCATACCCTTTATTCTCGTGATCGTAATTTAATGATTTAACGGTATGACTTTAAAGAGCAGTTAGACTCGGTTCCTCATTCTTAGCGTTTAATTAAAGATTTAATTATTACGTAACTAAGAGCTCGATGAGTTTGCCAAGCAAAAAAGACGCAAGAATATGATAAAAGAAAAGAAGGGGCCAGGACGGATAAAGTTGGACTCAGAGGGTTTAAGAAATTTGTACTTGACAAATTTGCAAAACTTCGGCTAAAGTTAAGATGTGCAGACTGTGACTACGCTTCTTTTGCGTTTAGAAACTGTTTTGTAATCTATGGTAAAGATATCCTGGTCGTAAAACAATTTTGGATTTAATCATATGGTTATTTATGTTCGACTGTGCTTTAAAAATCCAACATGAACTTGTTTTCCGGTAGCTTCAGATTCCCTAGTGGAAGATTACTCACTGTGAATGAACCACCTTGTTACTAAACCGCCTTTTTACGTATTTTTCTCTGTAGGTTAGTCATTAGTATTTTTTTTTAGAATTTATTTATGTTGGTCTATTTATCGCAAAATTACTGATACATGTTTGTTTCTAAGCTTTCGAGTGTCAAGTTCTACGTACAGTTCGCTCGGGAACGACAACAAAAGAAGTTCAGCATTTTGTCTGCTCAGTCGACGCAAATTCTAACTATTCGTAGACATACACGTACGGTCTTACACAACGCACAGTATTTCGTTCGCTACAGCTTACTAGGCGAGTAATATACTTTTCGCCTCTTGACGATACACAAAACTATTTCTTGAAAGGCCTGTTTTCTTTAATCATCGCTGTCTTGGAGACAGTTTATCTTTAGCCTCCAACGGAAGGACTTGTTTATTTCCTGATATTAACACAAAATCAACCCAAAATATGATAGTAATTTTATATTGATCCCGATTAGAAAACAGTTTGCTAAAATTAACGCGAATCTTGTATAACTGTGAACAGTTTCTGATAGCTCGTAGGTTGTTGAAAACGCGCACGAGAGGAAAAATTGCTTCGGCTGATTTCAGCGGCTGGTTCCGCGAACCCATAGAGAGCCTTTGGTGGATTTGGTGGAAAGAATTCTTGAGAGCAGACGAATGGTTAATTTTCAGTCCTCAGAACCGGTAGTATTTAGCTAGTTCTCGCAATGAGGCTAACTGCAGACCTTTAAGACCCTAAGTAAAGAACAAGTTGCACTCAGGGTTGCCCGGTGTATTTATAAATCACACGAGTAATGAATCAGCTTTTTGGTTAACACAGCCTACTTTGCTAATTACACAATTTGATTGATGTCATTTCCTTCCGATAACAAAACATTTTCAATCCTGTCTGCTTTAATTATGTTTTTGATCCAAGATCTTTTGAATTATATTGCACAAGTGCTGATAATACTCTTGGATGAGATGTGAACAACATCAAGAACAACAAAAATAACGACAAAAGGAGAGGGATGTCGAACGTAACTAATTGACACACTTTTAATTTTAACCCCATCGCTGCCGGGATCTGAATATCAACTCTCTGGTTTATCTGCAACGAACCTTTTCTATGACTTGCTTTGAGATTTTAGTGTGAAATCAAACAATGTAACTCTTAATATTTTTTCTTTTGTTCAAATCGCATCTCGGCTTGTAATAATTGCAATAGAATAGTGGCAAGAGATACATCCTTTGAGTCACCCCCCCACCCCCTCCCCTGGGGGAGTGAAAAGGTTTGAATATCCGGCACTTTATCTTGTTGTCTGTGTAGAAAGTTCAGAAAAGGAGGGTAGTTTTTTCGCTAAGTTGAAAAGGAGAAGCCACCTCTTGTTTCATTAATTAAGCCATTACACTATCACATCAGTATGCATATTCTCCATACTGTTGTCTATACATTTCCTAAGGCGCTGACATGGAGAATTTTTTCAACAATCAACAGCTTCTTTAGTTGGTGATCATTCTCTATATATTATCTTGACATTAATGTTTGATTCAGGGGTGCATGATATTGTAACAATAATAATAATAATAATAATAATAATAATAATAATAATAATAATAATAATGACAGTCTTTATAAAGGGGCTCACATCACTGGAGAGTGGTATTCTGTGAGGACCTGTAAAATAAAAGTAAATAAAATAAAATTCATCGTAAATAGATAACAGATTAGAAACATAAAATCTAAGTAATACTCAAGGTAAGTAAACATGATAGGATAAAATCTCAACTCTGACTTAACTAAATACATGATTTTTCACTCTATGCTCTACGGGTGATATTGTTAACGAGTTTCGTGGCCAATTTTGGGTGCAGAATGGGAAATTGTTCCCATGGGCAAAATTTTTCACCTTTTGACGTCATCGCCGTTCTCTGAGAAACTATATTTGATATGAGCCCCTTTTTTGAATTAAATTAGACGAAAAAAGCATTTTGATCATTTTCTGGGGGGCTGCCTCAAGGACAAGTCCTTTTTACCGGCTATAATAATATAATTCAACAGTCGATTTTATTCGTCAGTATTTATTGCCTATCCAGCTTTGCTTTAAACGTTCCAAGTCTGCGTTTGGTCGTAATGAATTGAAAAAAAAAAAAAGCAACAAGGACGATAGCAACAATAGCTAACAACCACGACAACCTATCTAGATGGTCCTTTCAACAACAACATCGAAACTGGAGCCAATCTGAAACAATATAGCACGGCAAGTGTTTCAATCTTAACCCATTTTTTGTAAGCAGTGTTTCTGTCGCAATTTCCATGAGCTGTTTGACTTATTCCCGCCAACCTTTTTTTAATTTGCACCAGCTCTGTTGCTAAGCTACGAAAGAAATGGAGTGAGCCCTCGCCCTGTTGTCATGATTGTTTCCGCTGTCCAGAGTCAATTCTGGCATACTCACTGGGAAAACGTTATGATAATAATTGCGCTGATGCAACCCAAGGAAATTGTATCTGTTTATTAAGGAAGTGAAGTGTTTAGGGACTGTTTATTTGATGATGCCGATAAAGGGTGAATTTTTCTCATTCACTAAAGATTTCGTTGTTTTGAAATTCAACTTTGTTGACGAATTCGATCGTAAATGATCTGTGGATTTGGAAAAAATTGTAAGATATCATTATTTCTTCATTAATCATTCTTTTCTGATATTTGATCGATTCTCTTTTATGTAATTTGAAGGAGCCACTTGAGGTCATGAGTTGTGTGTTTATCGAGACAAACATTTACTCTTACGAAGTGCGGGTAAACAAGTCGCTATTCGTTCTTCTAAATCGACTTTCACAGCAGATCAGATTTCCCAATCGCGCGGAAATGCCGGAAATTAAGCCTTAGGGTGTTTCATACTAAAAAGAAAATGAAAGGACCGTTCTTCAACAACACTACTACAAAAAGAGGTTTTGCTACGTTACGGTTCATGTATATTGCACAATTCAAAGAAATATATTAACCCTTAGTTCGCAAGTTAGTAAGTTAGTCATAAATCCGTATAAATTTTTTTCGTCCTAAACAATCTTCACTCTATGTGGTTTTATCTCACTTTCTTGATATATATATTTTACTTTAAAAAATCGTAATTTTAATCGTAAGCTCTGAGGCAAATTGCTTCCCTTCCATGATATTACTCAAGTGTTTTTCCTCCATTGGTTTAAATACACCTTCTGTCATCTATGGCACTGAATTAATGAGGACTGCTATGCCCTTAGTCTGACCTACGTAATCATCTGCTGAAAACAATTAAACTGAAAGTACACAGATCTTTTTTGACTATTCATTCATTCAATTTTTTTTCTTGTATATATATATATTAATCTCTTGTACGTTCGCACGTCCAACATTTGATCTTCGGAATGTATCTGGCATCTCTATTATTAGTGATTGACCATTTCCTTCCCTATTTTAGCTTTGGCTAACCACAATACAAGTTTCCACCACGTAAAGTATTGCCCATTTCCTGCATTGATCGTTCGCAATACATGTATGAAGGTTTCCTTTGTGAATTCAGTACTTTCCAAACGGAAGGCTAGCCCACGTCTCTTTCAGTTTGCTTTCTCGCCTCTAAACTGCCGGCTCACCAACTGTCACCGTGAGAAGGCAAAATGTTTGCGTGCGTGGGTGTTCGGTCATTAAACAATTTTAGAGGTTCCACCGTCAATGATATCGCTTGTGGATTTCCTGGTTCGTCTGGTATTGATCTGTTTTATTTGAAATTCTATTTATTCCTTGCGTACGCGTTAATGATCGAAAGTTTACTTCATCAAGTGTACTCGATAATCTAAGTGATCATCTTATCACAAACAGCAGTGCCCCCTTTATTTTATTTGTTTTTTTAAATTTTGAATGTTTCAAAATTGAGAAAGTTTTGGAAATCTTAAAAGCGGATAAGTTCGTAATCTTACTGCGACCCAAATGGGATGTGATTGTTATATTTATTTATCTAATTTAATTTTTTCTAAATTTTTACTACATTCATTGTTATCATTGTCATTTTGAATGATCATTTTATCCCTCTAAGCTGCCTGTGGATCTACCCTCTTCCAAATTGCTTAGAGAGGCAGCGAAAGTTTTATCTGATCATGATTGTAGATTGATGCGATACGTGCCTTTCGATGTCTCAAGGAACAATTGCGTCACCAAACGGCTTATATCGCTTTCAAGTCTCATTTGTTCTGCGTGTGAAATACTTTCACTTGCCCTGAAGCAGCGAGCAAAATGATATAACTTAATGTTGCTTTAATTTGCCATTGACGAAGTTAATTGTTTCGTTACGCACGTCATTACTGAAAGGAACGTTGCAACGATCGAACGTTCGGGAAAACACGCGACGGTGGAAATAATACATTTTGAATTTGTATTTTAAATCGCTCTACTTCATCATCTCGGGTGAATGTACGAGAACGTTTTTTTTGCAGTCACGGGCTAATGGAAACCTTAGTGTTCGATCTAAAAATATCACTGTACATAAATCCTTAGTAGTGTCAAACAGTGAATAACTCGAATATCATTACGAGCTTGTTGTCACGTTAAGACCAACTTTGTTCAAAGGAACGCCATGAAGCGTTGATAGTTGCCGGGTGGAAATGACGGCCGGATTCTTCTTGAAAAATCTTTTGACTTCCGTCCGAGACTTTTCTTTTCAGAGGGTCATATTTTTAGGTCTGAGAAATAAAAGGCGTGACTGACAACCACAGTGCGTGACCTCCTATCGAGTGTTTATTAATGTGAGAGCATTTTATGACGTCAAACGGTCTTTTTACAAATAAGCCCACTCACAGCAAGCACTGAATCGTTCATTATTTCACAAGCCACTTCTTGTGTTGATCAAAAGCTACTAGCGCGTCCTGATACGAACTGTTAGTCTTTCACTTCACCCCAACACACACACACACACACACAAGCTGTTCTTTTGTCAAGCCGTAACTAAGTGAATACCGCTCTGGTGTTGTCTTTTCACAATAGGAAAGGTGAGTAATGTGTGAAAAGTCGTAATTATTTCGTTCACTATTAAATTGGATTTTATGTTTGTACGAATTTTCATAAGTGCAAAGTCCGCACTGTACGCCGTTAACTGGGTTTGCTAAAAGAGCCATCGATATCTGTTTGAACGTGAAACTCCACTAAAATCAGATGTGTGTGGACATGTATTTTACTCTATTTGTGGTTTTAATCTTCTTTGATTACACATGTCTCTTTGAGTGACTGAGTGTATGAATAATCCCTAGCGACTCCTATATGTTTTTTAATTTAACTCAAACAAATATGTCGTCGATAATTTATTTTTGCCCGTTGTACTCTCTTTTGGCGATCTTATCGCCCTCAAGACACAATGTACGTCCGTGTGAATCAAATCAGCTGTTATGAACTTTGAATACAATTTGAATATTGGTCTAAGATTTTCGGGACTTGGAAATACATAGTTCAATTATGTACCTTTTTTTCTTGACCTTTTCACTGATACAAAAGCCATGGATTAATATTTTGCTATTTGGAAGTTAATTCTTGCTATTTTTAATGCAAGATCAATTTCTACTTTCGATAACATGTTTCGCAACGAGAAAGCGAAACACGAAAAATTTCCTTGAGTCCTTTTCGCTCTGACAATAACACGAAATGACGTCATCTGCTATCAAACACGTCTGCTAGCGTTGGTTAATAATTAAATGTTATCCAATACTTAATACAAACTGATCAGAACAACTGCAGGCTTAGCGGCGGATACCGTGTTGGGATGCCAATTCTTCGGCGGCAAAACTGAATATTAATGCTGTGTTATCGCGATGTTTTCTCCTCTAGATGAAAGAGTGTTTTAAGATTCGCATAATGGGATGCTTGCCGTCTCGACGACAAGACGAAGAGACTTCTCCCAAGGAAAACTCTCCGTCGAACAAAGCATCTGGAAAGCGTTCGAATCGAACACAGCAGAAGGGAAACAAGGACAAAGCGACACTCGCTCCGACGATTCAAATGGTCAATGCAGACACCTTGAAACTTTTACAGGAAATCGGCGAACTTAAGATGTTTCAAACAGCGAGCGATTCCGATCACAAGAAACACATAGACTTACACCATGATATAATGCTAGCCTTAGAGAACCCAACTAAAGCGAGCAACGCCGTCACGTCAGTGGCAACTGGGACAACAAGCAATGTGATATAGAAACCGGTTGGAAACCACTGAAATTTTTCTACTGAAACTGACCAGAAAATAACATCGTTTTATGGAATCGACGCGGAAAATTTATTCATGTCCTCTTGGACTCGCTTCATCGCTCGACGAATATAGTGAAATGTGAACAACCTATGAACGAGGACAGGATGCAATTTTTCCTCGTTAAATTTTTTTTGTGGATATTTATTGTTGATCTGTCTTTGTGGGTTTCATAATTCCTGCCTTGTGAACTAAATGTCTTCCAGAAACGAAATGGATGGCAGCCAGATAATTCCTTTGAAGAAAATGGAAACTGGCCAAAATAGCAAGCAAGCAAGCAGGTCGGCGCTGTGGCCACAATTCCTCATGGGCCGATATCACGGCTGCACAGAACGAGAGGCGAATTTCGATTGGGCTGTTTTCAAGGTGAAATATAACGAGAAAACAAGGGCAGTTACAAGACGCGAGTGTATGTTTTACCGAGACAAGTAGAACCCAACCAGCGAGGCGAACAATTAAAAATGTTCAATTTAGGAATGAGTTTATTTAGCGACTTATCGCGAAAACCCGTTGAATTTTCAATAAAAATAGGCCCTTGCAGTAAACTAAGGCGAGGAGCATGTAAATACAAAATTCGTTGTATTAATATTCATACGCTATAATGCAGAATTCTATTTTCTTTTAAACAAACAGACGGCATATGTTCATTCATTCGTTTTACAATTTGAAACGTTTACGAAGTTTTATTCGCTAGCTATCGTCTGAAAAATCAATCTCTTTATCAATGGCCTTTGTGATCGCTAATGCATACGACTCTTTTTTGTTGCCGTGGAAAAAAAAAACTTCCTTGACGAACTGCCGTAAAAGGTGTATTGTTAAAACCGAAGATAATATTTTCGAGTTTATACAATTTACCAATAGGAAAAACTCTTCGACATGAAAGAGTCACGATCGCCGTACAGCGCACAAAACAGTTGTAATGATAACAACGATGTACATTGGAGTAATAAGTTTCGGGGAAGAAACATCACCTCGTACGATTCGGTTGAAACCGCCCTACTTCAACTCACTCTGTCGCTGGACGAAATAAACAGAACGGTGAAAATTAGGGAAAAAAAATTCATCGAATTTGCATACAAGTCATAAAGTTGATTAAAAATTTGACAAAAAACATGGAAGTATATTTGATGGTTTTTCAGCAATATTTCTTGTTAACTATTTATTCGTGACAATGAAAAATCTTCCATGTAAAGAAACCATGTAATAAAACTCAGTTTTAGAAGACGAGTATCATTCCTTGTTATTTACTGAGGGAGGGACTAATTTTAGGTTATTCCGTTTCTTAATAATGCGTATTACGCGATCAACAATGGTACGCGACATATCTTTTTTACCGACTCGATAAGTTTCCATTTAATTTTGCCCTAACTTTAATTAACAACACCTTGAATCAGTAACTTTCTAAGTAAACCTTGATACTGCATAGACTATGTTTTTCATTTGTAGCACTCGGCTCCGAACAAATATATCATTTTCTTCGTCAGTGTCTTTTATTAAAGCACGTGTTTTCCAAAATCCACCCTTGACAAACAAACTTTTCTTGTCCACAGAATTTTTTCTCCAATGTTTTCCTCTTACTTAATCTGACTTAATCAGCACTTATTCGTTGGTTACAACAGGGACGCTCTTTTGGACTTATCTTCCATCCTTAATGAAAACTTGGGGTGTTACATCTTAATTCTTCGACCTGGAAACATTAAGGCTAATTTTTTTAACAATCCGCGTTAATCCCTTCTATCCTTAACCTGTTTTTTAGTATCTCTTATTTGTTTGCGTACCCTACCAAAAGATTATTTCAAAGTCGTATTTTTTAAGAGGCACTTCTTTATTAACTTCGCTACGTCACCCATTGTACGGTGACGTCGCCTGCTGCCTTTAATGAGAAAAGAAATGGAGCTTTAAGCCAGCTTTACCTCATTAAATTCAATTTCTTTTATCCAGCACTTTCTCGCTGTCCTTCGATGCACTCAATTCTTGCATTTATTTAGGCAAAAATGGGTCAAGTTACACATCCATTCACTGAGAGAAGACACACATGAAGACTTTATATTTAGTCGTGTAAAATAAACTGAATGGATAGTTTGTTTGTCGTCTCTTTGTTGAATTCTTGATCTCAAACGCTGAATTATGAACTAAGGCTCAAACTTGAATAATACAAGCTTTATTAATAAAACTGATTAAATTCGTTCTTGCGAACGGAATGAGCCTGTGAATGACAAGTTCATATGCTTCACATTTCTTAAAATAAATCATTATTCGCGATCACGTTCCGTGGTCTGGACGTGCTAAGCCTTAGTCTTGCGGGAGATACTCTCTCCCGCGTTTTTGCGGACGAAACATATGACATTTTCTTCGTCACGCAATTTATTAAATTTATTGTCACGCATTTCTTTTATGTCACGTATCTCCCTCCACGTGACTACCTTTTTACATGCCTGCTGAGTGTTGGCAGGTAATTATTTTAATGACGTTTTACGCCTGAAGTCAATTTCCTTCCCCACGTTTAACAAATGTTTGTTTTAGCATTTCACTTTTTTCTTCTTCTTTTATCTTGAAACAGTACAGATTGATCTTAATTTTGACAGTTTTGGCTTGCTAAAAGTTATTGGTTGTAGTAGGATGATGTTTCCCGAATGTTTTATGAAATAAAAATCAAAGAAATTAGTAACAATAATAAAGGCAAAAGTAGTCGCCATATTTCTAGTTTCCGCGCAGCACTTCGTAACCAACAATTTCGAGAAAGGAACTTAGATGATATAAAAGACAATAATATAAGATAATAGATGATAAGATCGATGATAATAATGATTATAATAATCCTTATGATTAATTATAATTATAAGAATGAGGAATTTTGTCTAACGTGAATTAAAGTTGTATAAAGAATTCTTAAACTTCCACTTACAAACTGACTTGAGGTCCTATTCGAATAGTTTATATAGTGGGGACGACGAAACAATATTTTTATTCGCTCCGACGAAGGGCTAACGCTCGAAACGTCAGCTTTTGTAATCATTACGGTGGCTAATTTACCATTTCAACTTTGTTGATATTTCCAATATTTTTATCGTCTTGGAAAGTCCGTTTTTCTTTTCTTTTTTTATTTGTACTCATTATTATTATTATTATTATTATTATTATTATTATTATCAGAATCAAATAGAAACATAATACTCCACACGGCCTCGGTAGAAATCTTTAATTGGTCTTTCCTATGATAAATAATTTATTAGGACTTATTTTTGTTTCCTTCCTAGAATTAATGTGTAAAAATGGTGCTGATGATTTTTATCTTCATCAAAATTAATCAAATTATTTGGTATTTGAAAGCATTTTGTTGGTTTCCTTCCGGAGATTGTCAGATGGAACTTCACTTTTTGACAGGCCACACGTTCTTGTAAATATGCAATTAGATGCTGTGTAATAGTCAATTAATTCTTTGTATTTAGTGCCCGTATAATTCTTGAGGCGAGGCCGAAACATTCAAATGCGTTTTAATAATTTTTTTCTTTTTTTGCCTTTCTCACTAAAATGTATATTGCACCGCTAGACATTTGCGTCGAACCGACTTTGATAAGCTTGTAATCTAAGGCATTTTTTGTTGTTTTTTTTTTTTTGTTTCAATTTCGTGCCCGTCGCATGTCGTTGCTGTTGCAATAAACATGAGTCGCAGTAGTTATTGTCAATATAGTCGCACAATGTCAAGTTTAATTCGGAGGCAAACTCGGTATATTTGAACACAGTAAAGAGTGCACTACTTTGTCTTTCATTCGACTCTTTCAATTAATGTCTCTCATTGGTTTTTTAAAATCCTTTTCCAAACCTAAACTGTATAGAACCCTCGGTGATGACTGGTGAAAACTTACTTACACAAGAAAAATGAACGCACATTCGAAAGCAAGATAATTTGGTTTTATCAAGTGAGTTGATAATGTAATGATTAGCTACCGTAAACTAGTAGTAAGCTGGCGTTTTGAGCGTTAGCCATTCTTCATTTGCTTTGGCGAAGGACGAACGTTCAGTGTCACAGCTTAAAAAACTCTTTACGGGGGCCAATTTACCAAATTATTTTGCACTACCCCACTTATGCAATACCACAATTTCTTTAGGAACTGAGCCTCTTTAAACATTGGACAACTTTTGTTCCATGTGACCTAGCAGACTTTTTTCCTTAACCTTTTTGGATTTTCTGGTGACTAGTTAGAAATTTGCCTAGGCATTCTGTTTTGCAGTTTGAAAGACGTGTCTCTTTTTTAAGGCTCTATTTACATAGATGCCTAAGCTTCGGAAATGAATGGGTAATTTATCTTTTAAAGCGATGCGTCTGTTTGCGTCAATTGTCAAGTTACCTACGTAATTCAAAGCCTTATTAGCAGCAATTTGCGTCAGCATTTGCGTTAAAGAGATAATAGAGTGGTGATGCAGCTGACGAGGAAATAATTCATTCATTCATGAATGTTCTTGAAATTGTTTTAGTTTTTTTTTCCACGCCCAAAGGCTATTGGAGTTATCTCAATGGTTAAATTGAACTGCGAAGGCTTCATGATTAGGAAAAAGCCTCTGCTGAGAGGCCACACTCACAAAATAAAAAAAAAAAAAAAAAGAAAAAAGGCTGCAGGGCAGTACTTTTGTGCGGTAGTTTTGGCTCTTCAGATTCAAATTTTCGTATTTGAGCAAAGCTTTAAAACAGGTGAACCAGAGCATTTTTATTTCATTTTGCTATATTTTCCATTAAGTTGATCTCTCAATGGTTCCGGCTCTATTAGGTAGGGTAAGGAGTTTTCCTTTAAGATACTTAAAGAGAGCATTAAAGGACCATTCGGACGAATTCAAAGCAATCGAGAAAAATTTCAGATGATCCGACTCACTCAAGAGTTAAAACTACCATTTTGTTATTCATGTCATGCACATTCGTGACATTTCACTCAATGAGTGAAAAACTAATAAGTTAGCTTTTCACGAATTACTATTCAGCCCCTTTAAACGCAGATGTTCTAAAGACTACCCGCTTTTTAATGAATCACGTAGTTGATGATCACTGAGTGTTTTAGCTTTCTGCCCGCTCGCAACTATTGTCTTAAAACGCATGACTCCTAATTTAAGACTTACCTAATTTATTCACCCGCCGTTAATTTCAATTTTTTTTCCTTTGGTTTTTTTAATGTGGAGTTTTCTACCTTTGTTAAGTAAAAGATGCAAAACGTGCTCCACTATTACGAGTAGGCCCCTCAAACCCGATCGCGACCTACTTAATTACGCTAATCGAGACTTCCAGCCATTAAAAGCAAGGCAAAAATGACAAGTCAGTTTTCACGAAGCAGACACTGATGATGAATGAGGTTCTCGAAGCGTCAGTTGTTTATACTGACAACGTTCCTCTCCAGAGCTGCTCTGACCCGAAAAATCAAACCACCCGTTCCAACACTCTTTCCACTGGTCTCAGTCTTCGGTCTTAGACTAAGCCATCCCCACTTTTGGACAGTTTATCCTTTTTCGGGATTTATTTTACTTGCAGTTGACATCTTGTAACTTAAGGATATGAAAAACCTTCTACCCTGTCATTCATTGCAGGCTTTTCATCGGAGACCTGGCGGGTCCTGATATGATTTACCTGCTGGAGTTCTTCAGAGTTCAGCTTGCTGTGTCCGTTCTGGTTGGGCTCGTATTTGTTCCCAAGGTGAGGATCTTAGTAAATAAAAGCTGATGACACATTCTTTGAAACAAATCGCATGGGCGCCTTCGTTTGATTGGTTCTTTCGCAGAGTACTAGATATAAAGGGGCACAGCGAGGGCACTGTGTTAGCCGTGAAGGAGGGTATACTGACCAGACCTCTGCCCTTTCTTCTCGCTTATCAGAATCGTTTGGGGTAGAGGGTGATCCAGAATCGTTTAGTATGGAAACAAGACGCTAAGGGAAAGATAAAGAGGTCTAATTATCGGTTTTCTTTTTTTTTTTTTTACTGCTTTCCCCATTTCTTTTCTTTTTATTATTTTTCTTATCATTATTATTATTTTTATTTATTGATTTTGTTTAAGGGAAGGGGGGGGGAATTGGGGGAGAGGAGGAGAGGAGGATGTACGTAGGGCTTCAGTGGTTAGCTCCGTCGCTGTGCTCTGGAACGAGAGAGCTTCCAGTTCAAACCTTAGCTGGCTTTATCGTGCAGTTGTGTTTCTTTGATGAATGCTTTACTCTTACACGACCGTTCTCAACGCAAGAATATAAAAGGGAACTGTTAGGATCACCAGACGAAATATTGATATTTACCCTCTCATACACTTATGATGTTTACCTTATTTACCGTTGATAATACTCTTAATCACTTCATGAATTAAAAACCGGGATAAACTCTGAGCTGAATGGATCGCTACACTGACTCTATGTAATCTCTACACTTGCTTTTAAAGATATTTTCTCATAATTAAATACTTTCATGTAGATTATACGTGTGATCAAGGGACGCGGAGACGTGTTTGATACAAGTGGAAGGATTGCGTCCGTAAAAGGGGCTGCCCTCAATATGGCAGCTGGACAGTCGTCTGAGGGGACGGTGAACTTGAGCCAAGAAAATGAAGACCTTAAGGTAACTCTTTAAAAATTGTTCCAAATTACAGCTCACCAGGCGTCAAAAGCAGTAATTATTAACATATTATGCACTATTATAACATAAATCACGTAAAGCGCACGCTATGATCTGTCAATTTAGTGTCTACTGTTTGCTTATGGGTAAACACTGCTGACGTGAGAAAATGCTTTGCAAGAAATTGTTTTTTATGGTGTAAAACAAATAATAAACACCGCAGCGCTCACTATTGAGTTATGGATGCACTTGACAGGGATCGCGCAGAGGGTGGGGCTGGGGGGGGCTTTAGCCCCTCACTTTTCTGGCTGATTAAATCACTATTTATTTTTACTTAGAAGTTAGTCTATTCATTTAAATTTGGTCAAACGTGAAGGCCAGTTTGTTACTCGTTGTTTTGTAAGAATCAAAAATTAACCTCACTTTTGGCAGTTTTAGATCCATTTCAAGCTATTTCAGAAGACTTTAATTTTAAATTTTCCAGGGGGAACATGTCCCCGGACCCCCCTAGTTGGCTCACGCTAACGCGTTTGCATTAGCCCCCCCCCACTTGAAAATCCGCTCCGCGGGCCCTGCTCGGGAGCTTTGCTAAGTACTCAAGAAGCTAGGGTTGCTCTCGGCTTACGTCTTGAGCGTCTCTTATGCTTCTTTCGTGCTTAGCAACCTCCTGTGTGCATTCGTAACTTAATACTGTACGCTGTGGTGTTAACCATTTGTTAATTCTTCTCCATGTCTTATGTATGTGGCATGAAAAGGCAGTGTTGTTGGTACCTTTATGTCAATCTTGTTGGGTTATCTACTGGTCAACGATCGGAACTCCGAACGGTCACCTTCAGCATCATGGAAAGCATCGCTTGAATCCTTATAATTAATTAAAAGTTTTCAGTTCATCAACCCAACACACACAGAACATCACAGGATTTGCGCAGATGATAGAAAATCGAGAAAGTCTCGGAGATTGGGGGTGCATCGCTCAAAAAAAAAGTTCACAAGAACTGAAAAATATCTTTATTTTCAAGGCAGAGCTTTGCTCTAATGTTCTTCTTTCGCATTTTTTAACTGACTCCTTAATCGTGGTTCATGGAAAACATCAAGGTCTTGCAATCGGTTATTAAGGTCGAAAGAGCGCGAGGCTTGCGTTAGTAAGATCTTGGCTATGATAAAACATTGATGGTATAAATTTACAATCTTGCAAAGCCTCCTGGGCCCAGTTGTTCGAAGACCGATTAGCGCCAATCCAGGGTTAAATTTTAATCTAGGAACCTATATTTTTCTGTTTAAAAGTCATTTAGGGATAATTTTCCTAATTCATTTAGAGCATTCAATCATCAAATTATATACAAATGTTTTTAAACTGAATTGTCTTTCAAAGCTTTCAGATCTAAAATCAAAATTTCACACTAACCCTGGAGGGGAGGGGGGTTATCTTAACCCACCCTGCTTTGAACATCCCGACCCTGGGGCCCGTTTCTCGAAAGTCCCGGTAACTTAACGGGCCCGAAGCCATATTTTAAAATCAAAAGTAAAAAAATGGAGAAGCAAGCTCTGACACCCTAATCAGTTCATTTTGTTTCTATAGCTGCTAGTTGTATTATATAATTCCCAAAACATTTGAGATCCCATCTTGAAAGAGAACAGAACAGATTTACAGGCGTCTTAGGTTACCGGGACTTTCGAGCGAGAAACGGGTCCCTGCAGGAGTTCTAAAATAAGTTATGACCGTTTGTAATATTTGTCTACTGTGATTGGCCGTGATCACGAATAGCCATTTTGGAGAAGTGCTGAATTAAGAAATAATTGATCATTGGCTAATTCTTCCAATTTACTCAAAGTGTGACTTAACGACCATCTTGCCTAAACTTATCCTAAAAACTTCGCCGAAATGAAAATTCCCGTGTGTTGAAATTGTCACATTTTTTTTTTTTATCAAGGAGGAAATACGAAAACTTTATGGTCAGCTTCAACAGATGAAAACCGTCAACATGGAGGCTGGAAATAGGCATCTGGGTCACTCTTCATCCCTTTTGTTTGGCGGATCCACTCCATCCCTCTTGAGCTCGACACCTAACAACAATGGAAGCAAGGCATGCTTGGTGACCTCTGCAAGGGCGAAACGCCCGCAAAGATACTCACCAGCGGCAGAACTTGCAAGTGACTTTGTTTGACGACGGTTTCTAAAGCAATGCTTTGGCAGCATAGCTCTTCAAACGTCCGAAATTACAAACCATTTGAACATATTCTCGATTTTACATTTTTGCATCGTCGTGTTCCTCATTTTTACCAATGATGTTTTCTTAAGATCTTCGATAGCTCCAAAAGAGTGGAGTAAGACATCGCGTTAACCCTAACCTTTAAATCGCAATATCTGGCTGCTACACATATCCTTGTAAATAGGTTACGAGAATTTGCTGTCAGATTAAGATAACAATTTCCACTTTAAAATTTGAGTATTTTCATAACCCATTTGTTGGATAACGTAGGAATAGCCGAGTATAAGGAGAAGTTACATGTTAATCACTTCGGGGAATGAAAGGGATACCAGGCCATTTTCGCGATAGTAAAGGTCAATCTCACTTCGAGGTTGAGGGATGAATAAATAATCTCTTTTCTTTTGTTCTCCCTAGACTCGGAGCCATGTTAGAATTCTGATATATCGAAAATGGCCTACTGCCTATTACAAAAGCCAATACCACAAATTAAACACGAATCTTAACTTAGTGTAAATGATTTTTTAATATATCGCGATTGATTGTCACAGTCATCATTCGAGTCATGTTTTCTTTGTTGATTCAGTTGCTTAAATTCCATCACCATGCATGCATCTCGCACAGAATAAAGTTCACAGACTGTTTTGTTATTTGTGTATTGCTGATCACTTTTGTTGAGTCTTTTAACATCATGATTTTCTTCAAAATGTAGGAGCAATCAATCGTATTTTTTAGATAGATTTCCGTACAACCCCAGATTATTCTAAAACAAAGCCGTTGTCTAGGAATAAATGTAAGAGACTAAGTTACATTGATATGACTATCACGTGATAAGCTGAATTACACACGCATTTTGAGTGGTCTTTCCTTATGATCTAATGGAGGACAGACGCATAGATGACGTCACCATTAGCACATTTTTATTTCGTTTTTATGTAAAACAAATAGATTCCATCACTCTGGGTCTGTAACAGACCATAGAACACGTTATACTGTGGTAAAAAGATCTCTGACACCAGTCATCTGTGCATCGTGTGCCACTTTGTTCTGACCACATTTTGACATCATCAGTGATCTACGTGTATTTAATTTATTGAACAGATGCACTATAACATGGAATCTTTTATTTTTTAAGTGAAGTGTTTCATCAACAATCGATAGAGAGATATGATTGAGGGATTCTTACTCAGTTGTTTCGTGGTGGAATTACCTTTCCAAAGCTGTCTCCCACGACAATTCGTATAGTTCGTAGTATTTTTTGGCCAATTCCTGGGAACAGATAAGTATAAGCTATAAATCTTCCAAGTGCACAGTTTTCTCAAAGCAGTCCCCCTAAAAGTGTTAGTCGAAAATTAAAAAATAATGTCTTTTGCGTTAAAGTTTGCCGAGTGGGTGTGCGCATGCTCAAACCGAGCCCAGCTGCGCCCACTCTGGCTTCTTTAAAGGACAGAAACCTTGGCAGCAAAGTTTTAAATGATTGCTGCAGTCTTGCAACACAAATTGTCTTTATCTTTGGTTCTATATTATTAAGAGAGGACGTCACTAAAAATCAGACAAATTCAGAAATCACCGGCAACAGTCAAAAAATCGAATTGGCTCATATTCTAGTATTAGGTGGGCCTGTAAGTAAAACAAACCAAGACATAACTATGTAGTTTGTTGAAAAATTCTTTTGTTCTCAAAACAATTGATAAAATTCAGTTCACGCATAATTAGCGTCATTCGAAGGTCGAATTTAGCACATTTTTGGAGGCCTCGTTTGTACTTGTAAAAGCAGTGTAAAACTTTTAGAACAATCTCTCCTGCATGTTTTCCGAAAAAAGTAGAATTATCGCTATTTTAATTTGAAATAAAATACGGATTTTTCTATCTATTTACTTAAGTGCCGTATGAAAAGTAGGGTAGCTTCAAAAAATTATTTTTATATGTGCTAAGTGAAATAAACGTTTAATATTTGAAATACGAGAAGTTGAAATGATAAACGTACCTTTTATGGGGTCGGAATATTGGTAGGAATATTTGCTGGCACTCTGCAAGTCAATTGCGAGTCAATTGGTTCTTTGTAAAACAGTTGCTGAACTCAATATCAAGTCATACTTAGTGGACATACCAGAGAAAAAAAAGAAAAAAAAAAAAGAAAGAGCCAAATGCCCTGCTATTTGTTGACGACACTACTGCATCTGAGGTTGACGGAAAGGGCGGGGTTAGTGGTGTCCAAATTATTTCTTATAAGGTAGTCGAGTGGTCTCTGACTAACAGAGTCCAGCTCAATGATGAGAAACGCAAACAGCTTCGAATCTCTTTTGCGAGAAATAGGGAAATATTTGAGCCAATTAGGGTACATGGCAAAGAGTTAGAGCTCATTGATAGTGCAAAGTTACTGGGAATAACAATCGCAAGTGATCTGTCATGGAAAGGCCCATGTAAATGATGTTATCGAAAAGGCAGCCAAAAGGCTATACTTTTTAGTGCAGCTAAAAAGGGCCAAGGTTTCCTGCAATGACTTAGGGTTATTTTAGATCACGTGTGTAAGATCAGTTTTAGATTATACGATCCCTGTGTATTATTATTTACTCCCAAAGTATTTAATTAATGAGCTAGAGTGAGTCCAGAAGAGGGCTTTAAACTCATGTGCCCTGGCCTCAGTTACGATGAAGCTCTTTGCCACATGGAGATAGCGCCGCTTAGCGTCCCTCACAAAGATATTTGTGCCACGCTGTTCAAAGACACCCTAACGGTGACTCAGATCATAGGTTACGAGCATTCACATAAGGCTTGCAAATATCTTAAAATAAACACGAAACGTGTAAGAAGTAGTTTTATGATTAAATCATGTTTTAATACAAATACGGTATAAATTAATTTTAGATCTTGTAGGTGGCTTTACGAACTTAATAGTACTTTATTATATATATTTAATAATTTTATTATTTATATTTCAACGGTACGCAATTCAGCCCTTGGCTGCTATGTATTGTTTTCAATAAAATCTATCTATCTATCTCAGTCTATCTATTTATCTATCTACCTATCTATCTATCTATCTATCTATCTATCTATCTATCTATCTATCTTTCCTTGTCACACGACAGCAAAGGTACTATTCGCCTATCCCCTTTTCTGTCTTTGGATTGTAGCCACAAGAGATTCAAATTTCCAGTCTTCAAAATACCTAAACTCTGTTGTTTACTTGTTGCGAACTAATTTTTATCAGACTAAATTGATTAATTAACTGTGACGTTTTATTGCTTAATTTTTTAAATATAAACTAGTGAGCAGCATTTCTGCGAACAGTAGTTGTAAAACTTCTTTATTCTCTGACGCGTTTCGTCTAACTGTCCTTGACTTCTTCAAAGAGTTTTACAAACACCTGTATTTACAGGGGAATCCTTGTTTACAATATTTGCCTCATTCGCATAAGCAATTCAGTTTCTGATGGAGCTAAAATATCATTCAGTTCTGAATATCGAAAGGTCAAACTACGATTAACTCGGCCAAAGAATACGAGCCTGATGCATTGAATACTTTTTGTGCAACACGGGTTTAAAAACTCAAAATTTTACATGAGCTCATTAGCGCTTTTGCCACCCAGAAATTTTGCAGTTTTTGATGGACTATTTCTCCTTGAATATTACACTCAAAGAGCTAAAAATTTCACCATGTACTAAGTTTTTCTGGCTCTTTAGCGGCCTGAAGTCAATTTGTATCTAACATGCTTCCTTCTTTCCGCAAAGCCGTATGCAAATGAGCAAAAATGTAAACAATAACGTCGGCATGAATCCGCCTATAGGCTAAGCTATTTTTAGCTAAAACCGTGGCCCCCAAAATATTTTCCTCACCTTGCCTTATACGTTTTAAATCGTATGATGCACGATCCTCGCAGTAGAGAGCGCTATTTATGCAATAGCCAAAATCAGACCTGAAAAAAATCAGGCCTGTACGGGATTCGAACCACTGACCTCTGCGATACTAGTGCAACGCTCTACCAATTGAGCTAACAAGCCAACTGGGAGCAGGCCGTTAAGTTGATTCGTAATAAACCCGTGATGATAAATCAGATACAATGAATATATGACGTTCATATATTTTGAACTGCGGTTGTAGATATTTAGAGCTTTTATGATAGCTAATAATCACGATAACTATGTATATT